TGGATGTTAGCATCTTGCACGTTTTCGTCTTGTGATGCCAAAACATATATTTACAATCTATATGAACTGGTCGTCAAAGTTGAATGCAGAATGTATGTAAGATACCAAAAGGTGACTTCCATTGAAGGAAACCCTCAGTGCGCCATACATATGATAATCAGGACAAGGTAACAGGAGCGATTGGCTTTTTGTTCTTTGTTCAAGTATCAAATGGCCATTATCTCCTTTGTTGACGTTATCGTGATCGTGGTGTTAAGACCTGAAATGGATGTCATTGCTCCAGAGCTCCCTGAGATGCTGCAGGCCCGGCCCTTTCAACAACAATGAGTGTTTCTGATTTCCCTTCCTCGGAAAGATAGAGATCAGAGGGATCTGTAAGGGTCAGTGCATTTATCAGATGAAGGTGACAGCTGACAAAAGCAAGTGCCTGTCAGCTTCAGTAGTCAAACAAACAAAAGGGACTTTTTTAGTGTGCTGCGTCTGTCAGGATTTTGTCAGTCTGAAAAGATATTTTTATGGGAAATGGGAATCAGGCTTCTCATGACTTGCTATTGACAGAATAGTTTGCAAACCCTCTCCTTGACAGATCATCCTTGTAACGTATTTGTAATTCTATAAGTATAAGGATGGATGTATGGCATACTCATATTACTTAAAAAGTTTCCTCAAACTGTCCACTGCTGCAGCTCCTCCTTGAAGTCTCTGTTGGAAACACTGGATTTAGCGCCTGTCTCTCTAAGCCCCCTCCCCTGAGAAATCATTTCATGAGCAGTGTTTTCTGTTTTTTTTTTGTGCTGATTTTTAACTTTGCAGATCTTTTACATACACCAATAACCCATATAACACACTAGAGTAAAGAGAAAATCTGCATCTTAAACGGTTCTTCTGGATTTCATTAATTTAATTGATATCTTTTGGGTGTTTTTGCTGACATTTCATTGACAAAACCATGTGCATGCAACATATACAAGCTTAATTTATGACTAAACAACCAAATGAAAAATGTCAGAAAATCTATCCAAATATTCCCTAGTTACCAGTTTATTTGTTTTGGGGGGGGGGGTCAACCTTGCCATCAAGATTTGTTTCTGTCTTGCCAGTTTATTACTAAATGGACACAGAGCTCCAGTACATTAAGTACAATCTAGTATAAGACCTTCCACGTCTGCTGACAGTAGAAGGGGATGGGAAAAGTAGGAATTTTCAATTTTCAATTCTATGCTGTACAATCAAGTGACTCAGTGGCAACAGAACTGAACATGTCAGAGTTGTGACAACCTGACCACAAAGCTTGTATTGAAGAGCATTGTAGTCTGACTCAAGTACTTTGATTATTAAATTAAAGTCTCTGTCTATATAGAAAATCCTGTGGATTTCTTTCTGGCTCTGAATTAGCAGTGAGTAACTTTGGTGCTGTAGGCAGAGGGACTACAGGTATCTAATAATTCTATTTTGGTGGAGAACGGCTTAATCACCACTGCCAGGGAGGTTTTCTCCCGTCTGTGTGGTTGTTGGTTGATTTGTGTGTTTATTTGTAACAGGATTATGCAAAACCTACTGAACAGATTTCCACAAAGCTTGGTGGTTAAGATCTAGACAAAGGGATGTATTGAGGGATCTTCTTTAAAATTGTGGGATATGGAGGTTTTTTTTTTTGCATCTTCACCGATGTCCATGGGAATGATTAATGAATCTTGATGAAATGAATCAGGCATTTAGGGACCGATACATGAGTGTGTGCAAGTTAAATTTTAGGGGACTGTTGGGCCAGAGGTACGCTCTACTGACTATACAATTCTGGTTACAAAATTATTTATGTCTGGACACACATTTATTACTACACAACCAAATGCACAATCATAGTTATTATCATCAAAGTTGGATATAAGTCTTATGACTATATGCACATTACGGTGACAGAAGTTATATAGGATGATATGTCATGTCTACATGTACTAAAAGCCAAATTAGACGTGTGTCTTGTCAGTTTTTTGAGCCTTTATTAAAAACAAGTTTGAGCAGATGTCGTCTTTAAACAGGATCTACTTCTTTTCTAACAAGCTGCTTCCTTGTCATCGCCCTGCTTTTCTCCACTGCACTGCAATTGTCACAGCACAGGTGTCAGTCACAGAGATGCTGAGTTTTGTTCAGTGGAATATAGATAGGAAACAAACTGGTGAAAGTACAAACCGCTGACAGCTTCCCATCAGGTAAAAAGTTCTAGATTCAGTTATCTGTATGGATATAATCAGCATGAGAAACAGGATGATAACTTTGTGTGATCCACTAAGCATCAACTGTCCAAATGTCACGATCAGATGTGTATGGCAGCCCGATAAATGTTTGTTTCAGGTTCTTGATTATGAATGGCAGTGTTCCAAAATGTCATGTAAAATACAAGATGTCTGCATTACATCTATGTTAATGCACAAAACAAATGGTTTCAACATGTCAAATTTCATTTGTTGTATCATTCATCATGTCTGTGATGATTTTTCCCTGACACCTAACCTGCTCCCACAATGAGAGAAGATGCTGGGGCATTGTCCTTGCTGTTGGCTGCAATTAAAACACACATGTCCAGAGACACAAATCCTCAAGTATCAACAAAGAGAAATGCTAATGTAGGTCAACATGACTTCAACAATTGTATTGTTAATAGAGAAAATCACATACATGTTAATAATGACTTAAAGGGGAAGTGTGTTTTCCACATTCACACGTTCTGCTGTCACTGAGGAGCTACATTACTTTTCAGAGCAATGGTTATTTGCTATCAATTCATTACTGCATTTTGTTTTGCTGTGTGTTTATTTTTTGAAACCTTGACAGGCGTCTAATTATTTTATAAAAGCAACAAGGTTAAGGTTTTTAACAGCCTGTTAACCCGTGGCCTTTTGAATTTTATTGTTTTAATGTTCCAGCATTTGTTTACCAATACAGAAAAATTAATTGGAATAAATCGATAATTTACATTTCCTTGATGATGCACAAAGCAAAGGCTTTGTCGCCAGGGATTCTGAGGCTCACTGCTGAGGAGTGGTTTAATAAACATGCAAACCATTATATTTGTGCCTTGTTAGCTTCCCCATTTCTTGTAAAAATGACTTCACCATCATAACAAAGACTAGTTGGCAGCTAAAGCTTAGCACACCTTCTGAATTCCTGTGATGAATGAGTTTCCTGTGTCATTGCAGAATTGTTCAAGAGAAAAGGAATTAATTATGTTTTTTGATTGACTGAAATTAAATGAAAGTAAATAAATAAATAAATTGAGTTTCTAAAACAGCATTTGCAATGTAAAAAATAAAAACAAACAGACAAATCAATAAAATTGATGAGAAATGATATAAAAGATTTTGGAAAACCAATTGTTCAACAAAACCTTTTTTTCATTTCTGAAAATCGAAATAATGATTTCTATTTCATATTAAATGTAAAATAGCCACATTCTGGGTGGTATGAAATCATTGGAGCTAAAAAATACACAAACATAGCTGTGTTAACTGTTCCAGCTTTAAAAGGCAGATTTTGATAGGCTTTGTTCTGCCGACTGTGGGCATCAGCAGTGAGAATATAGTTTACACCTCAAGGGAGCTGATTCTCTGCGAGATAAGCGATTTGACTGACGACCAACCAGCTGCTAATTGCTTTGCTTATCAATTTACCAACTCACAATACCTTTAATTTCAAATGTAGTTCCACATCCTGCTTCTCCCCAAGAATATGTGACACAGTAATTGCCCACTCTCCATTTGTAGATAGCAGTGTTTTTTGCAGCTGACAAGTCCCCAAAGGCACATAATTATTTCTCAGTTTTGTTCAGTTCTTTCATGGCACTTTATCATGTAGTGCAAAACACTCCCACTATACCCCGTTTTTAGAGTTCTGATTAGAGTCTTGCTGAGCTTCCAATCTTTTAGCATTTTTGTTTTTTAGCACCATACCTGCACAGCTATGCTTCCATATTACCAGGAATTCTAGCTATTTGTTTGATTGTACAGTTGCTTTGGGAAATATGTATTGACAATAAGGTGTAATAGGGAAACTAGGTGTGTGTAATCTCGCATTGTTATATTTATAGCATCATAAAAATCACAACAATGGCAAATTACCCTCCATAAAGTAGATTGAATACCTCAAAACGTAAGTAGTAGAAGGCTGCTGTGACAGCAATGACTAGTGACAGCCTCAACTGCAGTTTACTCATTTATTGAGGATATTATTCTGAACCCCCACGGAGTCTTTTACTTTGAAAGAGGCAGATTCTCTCCGCTTCTGTTACACTTACCATTTTATTCAATTTTAAACTTTGATGACAGTGATTTCCAGAGTATGCGACGTATCTGTGGTGCGTCATAAGAAGTGTACGCTTTAACCTAAAGGCATCACGATTGCCTTTGCAGAGTGCCTCTAATGGCTGATAGATGCTGCTGCAGAGAAAGACTGACAGTGTGAAGTCAAAGGGGAAAGACTGCCAGCATTGTTCTCAAATAGAAACAATAACATTTTTGCAGACGAAGCTGCAGGTCTTGGTTGTTTTGGGCACTCAGGCTTCAGACCTCTGAATTTTCACCTTGTTGCCAAAATGTCCAGACATCTATTGCATCACAGATACTTTGCTCGGGTTTTTCAGACAGTGTGAGTATTTTCTGCAGACTACAAAATGCACTCAAGGTTTTTCCACCTATTTCACTCAGAGCTTTCTCTGACTGGTGACACCTCCTTATCCTGCCGTCTGCTGTTTTCTTGCTTTCCAGTTCTCCAGGATGTCTTGTAGGACACTAATTAGTGGCAAACTATTCCTCATACTGGATTTGAAGATAGGACAAAAAAAAACTAATCTTCTCGACACTATAAACTCTAAAGCGAGATTGTTTCTCTCCATTTAGAGATTGATTGAACATAAAAAAATCAAATATGTCATCGGTGAGTAGTAAGGATCAATTTCACTCAAAGTCAATATGATGTAACTCTTTGCCTTTTTTTTTTTCCTGCAGATTTTGCAAGAGCTGTTGCAGCACGGCCTATATCATATGCTGCAGTATTACGAATGAAACAAGACAGCTCTTCGTCAGTGCTCAACTCGCGCAGCAGACCTCGACAGCACCACAGCAGCGGCGGGCTGGTGACTTCTGACTGGCCTGCTTTCTCCAGTCACCCCCTGTCAGCCCTGAGTCTGCTCAGCTCTCAGGAGGACTACCAGAGTGAAGGTAAAACTAATGGTGGAGTCAGACCTACTGCTTGTTTTTTAAACTCTCGTCTGAAGAGAAACAACCTAGAAGTTTAGCTTTGTTGTTAAAGTTCACAATCACAAACTGTGCTGTAAAAGTCACGTAACCTCACAAATATCTCATTAATGTTGTAATTTTCTTCTTGCTTAAATTACAAACACAACTTAAGCCAAAGATAATGACTGCTTGTGTACACTTTGACATAATTTACACACTGTGGGGTTCATTGGTTCTGAAGACTGGGAGATGAGGCTGCATAAATAAATATGATTATCTGTAAATAGGGTTTTTTGTATTTTGGTGGCACCATCTGTCTCCTTCTGCCTTCTTGCTCTCAGTCTTGTAGTCGCATCATGAAGGACCTGAATTGTCAGGTCTTAGTTCGGATGACTTTATTCTCACCTTCTGAGCTGAACCAAAGGGTGGACACTCCAGAGTTTGAATAGACTCCTCCAAACATGATTGGTGTGACTGCACTCTGCCACCTCTCAGCAGTCCGCCATCTCCGGTGTCACTTCAGACGTGCAGGCTTCCTGCACGTTTAGATTTGGTGTAGAAATGAATCTCACCTATCCATCATCACTGTGGTATGGTCTGCAGTGACCGGGGTCATGCCCTCTGTGAAATTGAAGAGGGATCATGGCAATATCCACCTCTCTCTGTGTTCCTGTCAGTACAGAAGCTATGGATGTGATGGATATCTTTGTCAAAAGGGAAGATTTAATATCTCAAACACAGCAAACAGGCTGCCATAAATCTACATGGGTCACTCGCTGTCCTGACTTACAGTATGAATAATTTCAAAGGATATAATGGCACATTGATGCTTTAATTTATGATTAATCACATCATGCTTTTTGCATCTGGAGTGCCTAATTAAAGGAAATATGAAGTAGCTGCTGAATTGGCAAAGAGGACCTCGCTGTAATGCAAAGTACTTACAAGGAATGTAGATAGTCACATTAAAGCAGAATAACATTTGTTCTCTTTCTTCTTCCTTGTGTGTTTTTTCTTTGTACCTGATCTTTTATGTTTTTTTTTACTTTGTGCGTCTCCGCCAATGATGCCATCTTTTTTTTTTTTTTACTGTCTCGCATTATTTCTGAGGTTTTCACTATGTAGCCATAAGATTACTTACTGTATATCTCTACAACCGAGGTGAGAGTAATGGCTCCATTGTCAGCGATGACATGAGCATTGTACCGCTGCACTGGATTGATGTTCAGAGAATGAAATGGATGCCAAAAAGTTCTGCACCTTTGGTGACTTAAGAGGATATTGCTTTTTGGCTCTGTGACTGACAGATGGCCACGGTACTTGAAGTTGAGTGATTTAAACAACTTCTAAGCTTGTGTGTGTGTTTGTGCCCCCCCCCCCACACACACACACACAAACACACACACACACACAGACATATGGTGTTTTTTTTTTCTCCATCCATCTTTTTAATGTTTTCATATGGTCACAAGCACAGATCCAGTAATTGAGCTATACTATCCTATAACATAAAGGAAGACTCGATTTCATTGAGGCATTTTTCTTTCATGTCATATTATAAAACGTATGCCAAAACATCTTTATCGCCCCCTGGTGGCTGGCTGCAGTACTGTTCATGCACCTGACTTTTCTATGTCATTGATGGGCGAAACTAAAAAGTCAAAATACCTGTAAAGATTTTGTCTTGTTCTTGAACGACAACCGTCAGCACAAGATGGGATCGTTCATATCTAGGATATTCTGGTTTTATTTCTGGATAGTGAGAGCAAGTGGAGAGTGTTGTCCATCTTTATATACAATTTATAAACATAACCATCTTAATCAGTGTAGGTCATAAACTCTGTCTCCTCCGTATTAGCAGATTGGACGTGGAGCAATGTCAGAAGACGTGTTTAATAAATTTTGCTCAAAGATGTGCCCTGTCATTTTGGCTGGTTTTATCACACCGATGTTTGTTTTGGTGCAGTTTGTTTTGGTGCAATTTTTTTTGGCGTGTTTGGTCCTAATTAGTCTTTTGATTTGATGAAAACAGGGGGAAATGTCATGTTTGTCAGCTTGACCTAACTCGTAATTGGTCGAAAGCAGCATCCATATGTGAGAGACTGCAGGGAGAAGAGATTTGTCTTCAATCTTTATTTGCTATGCATAATAAAATAAGACATTTACGGTTCATTTGTCCATTTATTAAATACTTTAAAGTCAGTCAAAGTCAAGGTTAGTTTCACCTGTGAGCTTGAGCAGAACATTTTATGACTCTGCAATATGCATTATATTCAGGTCAGGCTCGACATTTAACCTTAATTACAGTACGATCCCGTCAGGACCTTGGGCCTTTCATTAAAGCAAATAAAAACATAACAATAACTCTGAGTGTTTCTATGTGTTTCTATCCACATCAGATGGACACTGTGGGAGTTTTGTCCCTTTTTAGGCATCAACTTTCAGTTTTAGGGGACGAAAGATATTTGGAGAATTAATCATTGTATACAGCCATATTTATTGATATGTATTCTTTGCAGTTAACGACTGTTTTTATGTCCACCAGACACCAGCAGAATCCTCCCGAGGGGATGCACTGCTGGGCCATAACATTGTCCAATTTTATTTCCAGCTTGTTTCAGCTGAATCAGAAATGTTATGTTTTCATTTGAAATAGAAATCATTTCATCATACATCATGCACCACTCCATAAGGCTGGGGCGGCATTCTAGAACTGAGGAATAATTGTATGGATGGATGTAGAGACATGTTTTTGTTTCCTTCTTGTTTTCACACCAGTAGCATGGGATTGTTTTTGGTTTTATATTCACATCAAGGTTTCCAACTTAATATTGATTCATTTTCCTCCTCTGATTAGAGTATTTTTTTCAAGAGCTTTTTATTTCCCTGTGGAGCAGTAAATTGCTGACAAAGGGTGATTATACAAACCCAGAGAAAGAAGCCATGATTCATATCTATCTTTAGATCTTTCCTAAATAGTTGGAGCAACTCAACAATGGTGGCTTGCACTGCTGTATTATTTCTGTACAATTACTGCTTAAACATGGATTTCTATATTTTATGCTGTAAGAAATGTGTCCACTCTACTTTAGCTGTCACGTATTTACATAAAGAGCATGTGTTTACCGGGCTTCATAAATTCATTATCTGAGAAACTCTTCTTCTGGAGAACAGAGGATCCCTCCGTCTTTGAAAAGTCTTGAATTCCGTGGTGCTGTATACGTAGGAAAGCGTCTGCAATGAGTTCATCCACTTGTGTGTTAGCAGACGGCTTGATCAAAGAGCAGAGCGCTGTGAAGGAACAGATGAGAATTGCCGCAGAGAATGTCAAGCAGACAACATTAAGCTAGAGAGCACATTGATTTGTGGGGGTATTTGTGCTGTGGAGAGTTCAAATTTTACAAGAGCCAATTCATATCACCAACAGGAGCACGATAGATCAAGAAACTGTGGGCTGAGCGTCGTCATGTAGGTATTAAATAGCATTTCACAGATTTGAAATTGCATAAGCATTTGTAATTCGAGCTTTAAATGGACTCTTTACTGGAAAAACACAAATAATATTCCCATGTTAAATACTTCTGGCATTAATTTAATTTCTATGTAACACAACCTCATGCCCTGTTGTTCAGAATTTATCATTGGACATTAAGTAAATCCTGTTATTTTTATTTTTAGATCAACATTTTTTCAATTTAAAGTTATCTGATTTTCTCTGCC